GCCAAAATTCAGACATCTAATAGTTGTAGAAACCTGAACAGTGCTCTATGGCTACAGCTTCAGTTTTTCTATTAAATATTACCTGAATTACTCTTTTTTTGTTCAATCTATTGCAGATAAGACGACTATCCTCCCAAGTATCAGTCCTTCTTGAAAATCATAAATTACAGACAAATAAACAACACAGATTCAAAGAAGATAATAATGATCTTAGTATGAGGTAAGAAAAAATAATAACAGTAATTTGTTAATAATTTTTTAACCTTGATTGTAATCTATTTAGGACGAACAATTAATATACTAAATACTGTATTTAGTATATTAATAATAATTGTTCATCCTAATGGCTTGTATATAATCTATGGTACACAGTATTTTTATTGTTCCCTAATCATAACGTAATGTGTAAAAGTGTGAGCATTTGCCATAAGCAGCTTTCAAGTTAGCCATAGTGTTCCAAATATTTGTTACTAGAAACTAACTTACCAGTTTATTATTAGTAGAATGCTAATTTAAGAGTAAAAATTTTAATTTTCCTAATATACTAATTACTAATACTACTAATTACTTTTTCCTACGCACACTTGCACACACACAAAACAATCTATATAAAGAAATTAATATAAAACAAATGATTGAGAATTTTTAAAAAAAATCATGTGGGGCAATTTCAATATAATAAATACTTTCCTCCCTAAAATGCCTCTTCTGCATAAAATTCACAGTTTAACATAATATAAAATGTCACAATTAGAAAATTTATTTCATGAAGACAGGTTTTTAACCCGTGGAAACATGCAAACATACATGAAATAATACATTAAATAAATTTTATTTTCTACAAAAACTGTGTTGATGAATTAGCACTGAAGTGATCCCATAAAGTTGTAAGATTGGCATTATCATTAAAAGACCTGTTTGTTTACTCYAGATAGAGCTTTTTTAACATAAAAACAGGTTTATTCTTAGTCCATTTTAAGGATTAAATGTAAAGCCTAATTATTCATACRTCATCATTCAACATCTGCCATCTCATTAACATAATACATCTAGCATCTTCTATGCTGGATGATCAAAGCCAATGTTTCTAGAAATGTTGAGGCAAAAATCCGTACTTTATTGTGTAAAAACATGCCGAGAACAAAACATTCGCTTCCGATAAGAATGAGTTAACTTAAACACAGGGATAGTGGGACTAAGGTAGGTAAAAAGTAAAGAAAATATCAGAATACTTGATTGTTTAAAATTATTATTCTGAGGATAAAAATTTTAGTCGTTTCAGATTTGGGGTACAGTTCCATTTAGTGCCTCCAGTGTAATAGACTTTTTTCTTAATTTCAATAAGAATTTTAACTTTAAATCTGTTCTTATTAGTTTAAGAACGATTGTATGAAATAATAATATTTTTAGGAAAAGMATTGAGAATGTCTTTGTTCCATAGTCGTGTGTTTTTATTCCTTCTTGCGTAGTTTCACTTTTGATAAGAAAAAAAACTATTTGGCATCAAAAGTTGGTTTTGAAAAATAATATTTTWAATCTTTTCGATAACCAGACATAACCAAGTTTAATTCTTTAGATTAAAATGTTATTTACTGGGGAAGAACATCAAGCATCATTGATTTGATAACATGTAGTTTATACGCATGAAGTCAAAATGGCGATGCATCCTACTTAATATTGATGAAGTCTATTTTTAACTATGTTAGAAACCGTAAAATAGGACTTTTAAAATTTGTTTCTATAATGGAATTTTAACTTTCCATAGTATCTAAAGTATTTATGAATGAGCAATATGATTAGTTTACTATAATTTTCACATAACCTCTTTTTTAAAAATTTGTAAACTATAAATATTTTTTATGAAAAAGACTGTGCATGATGTCAYAGCATTTCAGACGTATCGATCTATAAACTGCTGATTTATTATGATAAATTTCTACATTGCTTGATTAATATTTTCTGTCCTTTCTATCCTCTTTATTGCATGTAAGAAGATCCATTTTTTTATATCTCAAAGGTGATATTCAATAGTCTGCTGTCATAAGAAACTGTCATATGATGTCATGACATTAATGTAGATTATGTTTCATATCTTTGAAAATGTCAAATATTTCTTAGTCAGATCATATTACAAGTTRCTCATCTTGAATCTAGTCAGACAAATCTGTTCTCATTYGCAAGGAAATTCCTGGGAATCAARAGCTTCAACCTTTGGTTTCTGAGTKTTCTATGTATTATTCTTAGTATTCTTCTATTCTGATTACAGCATGCATGAAAAAATTTCTTTTATATTATTGTGTTGAAAACATAGATGTTATGCGGAAAGAGTATGTCAAAGCTAGACACTACTAGGGCCCTGTTTACATTCTTTAACAATGTCACTAATATTCTGTTTTTTTAATTAATGTTTGTTTTTGTTGACTAATTCACAACATTTTATTGTCAASTATTACCAGCTTAATTTGTTGTAATAGATATAATTATGTCAGTGTTGAGAGAAGATTGATGTTATGTGTATGTGCAAGAATGGCTTGTGTGGGAGAAAAGATTGTGAGTTTTATAGCTTGTACACATCTTAATCTTATCATTATTTAATAAAACATAAGTTTTAAATTCCTATAAGTATAATTCTATAATTAACCCAATTCTATTTAATKAATTTTCTAATAAAATAATTTGTTTTTGCCATCAGAATTAATGCCCTTGAGGACCAACTAGAACGACAACACGAAAGCACTGGAGAAAAAGTCCAAGAAGAAAGTAGAAAATATAAATCTGCTCTTGTAAGTACTTTAATCAGTGATATTGCCAAAAATATAGGACTCTACGTGATGGTTTTGAATGTGCGCACACCAAACATTATTTTTATTTAAAATATTATGCCTGRGAATCATCCTTTACAGATTGATTTGATTAATTTAGAAACCAAGCAAATTAACACTACAGTGCGTACACATGAATGGTAAACATTTCAAGTTTTTTTCAGATTATCATTTCCAATCAATTGGCTTAAGTTATGATTTTCAGTATATGTTTCTAAAAAGTGACAAAAAACTTGAAGTGTTCATGGTTTTTCGTGTCCTAACTGTAACATATATATGTCATGCCAAAAAAATGATTTGAAGTTTTTGTGTAATTTTTCATACCATATTAAAATTAACTGTGTTATTATTATTGCAGACTAAACTTGAAAAAGAAAATGAGGAATATTTAACTACTCTTACTTCAAAGTAAGTACTATGTTTACTAGACCTTTTATCTATTTAAATATTATCTATTTATTTGGAGACATGATGATTTCATATTTTACTTTTTGCCAAGTRTTTAAGATTTTTCCCTTCCCAATTTTTTTTTAAACCTTTCTTCTTATTCTATGGACCATTTTTAATTAATTAAATTAATAATTTAATAAAATCTTTATCAGTTAACTTAATTTATCCACCCTAAATGCTCAGCAAGTTGGTTTTCAGACATGCTGTGCTTACAAAAAATACAATTATAACAGAAACAATAAATAAAAGCCAACTAGACAATTATGAAAATAATACTATATAATGCTAAGAAATATAAGGAATTTTAGGGGCTGCATAA